CTTTCCCAAAATACAGGCCTGCTGGGCACCATCCAGTTGTGTGACACTCAGCAAATCCACTAGCCTCCCGATGGGTCATATCTCCCATCTGTAAAATGGACCTAACCGGAGTGCACACCTCAAGGGCGAGGGCTCAATGAGGGGAAATGTCTGTAAGGCATTTCGCACAGCGTGACACACCGGAGCTAAAAGTATCAGCTGGTAGAAACCACAGAAGCTTGAAAGCCTGGGAAGGCCCAGGGTCAACTCAATCCCGGGAACTAAGCTTCAAGGCATCACACTCCAACCTGAAAACCACCTGGAATGATCGCATCCTTCAYGGAAGAGTCATTCCCAGCCTGGTGACCATTACTCTTTCTCTTCCACTGGACACTAAGCTCCTTGGGTCCTACGCGTATCTATGTCTCCACCTTTAACAAGGTGATTGGCATTGGCACCTGGCAGACGGACATAAATCTTTGTCGGATGAATAAAAATCCATCCAGTTATTTGTAGGTCCATCTATCTTTGCTACTAGATTATAATTATTTAGGAGCGAGGTCCTAAAGTCTTGCTTTAGTAAAGATTTATTAAATGAATGACAGAAAAATTCCAATCCATGAATCAAGTTAACTTCAACCCAGCTCAGTCACTTACCAGCTGTGCAACCTTGGAAAAGTCGATTAACACTTCTGTGCCTCGTGTTTCCCACCTTGAGGATGAGAAGTTTGGATGACACATTTGCCAAGGTCCCTAACACTCTGAAATTGGGTTTGGTCCTTAGCTGCCAAATGGTACCTCAACCACCGTGCATATGATGGCCACACACCCATGGCTCAGCAGGTCAACTTTGCTTCTCTGATCTCCAGTTTTCTATCACCAGGCTATGAATAGCTTTGGGTCAATGCTTAAAATACTCACTTTTGGTCAACTCACCTGGCTTGCTAGGTGAGGATGCCCTATTATCCTAAGCTAGTTCTCTGGTGGCTGGAAGCACTCTGGTAGACAAGGACACCCTCTGCCGACCAGCGCTGCCCCTCCCATCCCAGAGACCATGCCTCCAGCTCAGGCACACCTTGTACTGCCACACATCAGGTAAACTGGCGCGGGGGGGGGGGGTTGACCTTGACCTTGGGCACTGAGGCAACCCCATGACACCTCTCCCCAAAGGGGTTTGGGTTTGGAGTTTGGGGCAGTGCTTTGTGCAGCCTGAAGGTCCAAGAAATTTGGCTCAAAGAAAGCACATGCCGCAAGATGACACCGAGGTTCACCCATAGCCCTGACCAAAACTCTATCAAAGCTTGTGCAATAGTTGAGGCCCAAATTCAAGACTTCAGGAACACATTCAGATCCTATCCAAATCTCGCTGTTTCACCTTCCTTTGTGTGCACCTCCCTAATTAATCTAACCTGTTAGTTTAAAACCCTGAGAAGGTGATTATCTCCCCTCCCCCTCCCCATGACATAAGGCTAATTGTCCAAAGCATCCTGTCTCTCTGATGACCTTGAAATCTTGAGGGTGGGGGGAACCCTACTAGAAAGAGGAACTAAAATGGTTAATTTCCCCCCTTTTGAGRCTTTATATAGATTATTTTATTCAACTCTCATAAGTCCAAGAAGTTGGTACTATTAGCGGCCCACTTAATGGATGAGGAAGCTGAGGTTTCAAAGACACACAGCTTGCCTAAAGTCACAAAGCTMGAAAGGATCAAGTGAAGGCTTGAATGCAAGCCAGGGCTTTTAGCTTCTTTGCAAGAGTGCCTTGATGTTGGACTCAATAATCACAAGCCACTCTGAGTCCTTGTCTCRTGAATGTGGCTGCGAGACCGCATCTGGGGACGTGAAGGGGTGCTGCTTGGACCACGGGGAGGGCTGAACCAGTCGACTCCAAGCTCTGACTCTGCAACTCTTCAGAACTGCATTTCAGAGAACATGGAAAGTGATGCCGGGTCTTGGTGTGCTTTATTCAGAAGGCCCTTCCAGATGTACCATCAAAGCAACTACATTCTAGCCTGGCGCGGTGGTGCACGCCTGTAATCCCAGTGGCTCAGGAGGCTGAGGCAGGAGGATGGCRAGTTCAAAGCCAGCCTCGGCAAAAGCRAGGCTCTAAGCAACTCAGTGAGACCCTGACTCTAAGTAAAATACAAAATAGGGCTGGGGATGCAGCTCAGTGGTTGAGTGCCTCTGAGTTCAATCCCTGGTACCCCCCCCCCAAAAAAAAAAAGGCAACAATATTCTCATGTTAAAAAAAAAAAAGTCTCTCCTTTCTGAGCAGGGGCCCTGCTTTCAACAGGAATGCTGGCGATCCCCAGCACCTGACTCATTGGCAAGACAGGTTAGAACCACTGCCCCTTCTGAGAAAGGTTTTAAAAGACATTACATCAGCATCGTGCCCAGAGATGGAATAGGCAGAATTAAGACCACACTCTCTCAAGGCTCTTCAACTGAACCTTAAGAGCCAGTTGTGATATGTCATGCATCCCTAGAACCAGAAGAAAACTCCATGTTCATACATTGGACAAAATTTCTTGCTGCTCCTGACAGATTTTGCATCACTGGGTACTGAATGRGCAGAACAACTTAATAACTGATGTTCTTTGTTTGTTTGTGTGTTTCGTATTATTTTCTGTTCAGCCAAGCACAGAAAATTTTCCACCTGACAATTCCTGTTTCTCACTTCAGTTCTTGCACCATCTGTGAGGAGTGTGCTCAGGAGGGGGGAGGACTTGGGTCCAAGGTTTTCCCTTCTCCAAACCTCAGTCTTCCCATCTGTTAAATGCAAGGTGTTCACCAGAGAATCTTGCTCAGCTATCCAGAAAAAAAAAACAGTCCCATGGATAAATGAAGCAGTTTGGGGACTGCCAGTTTCTGGGACTGGATCTGCTGCCAGCTTCAAAATCTTTACATAATTTTTGAGTAAAACAAGAGATTTAGCTGAAATTAATAGCAGGATGGAAAAGTCAACTAGGGCTGCGCAGTAAGGGCTCGCTCATCTTCCAACTGAGARAAGAGCCTCGATCGTTCTCAGGGCTCCCCCTAGTGGCCTTGAGACAAAAATCCTGGAGGAATGCTCACAGTTTCTGCAAACAAAAAGCAAGACACCCACCAAAAGAGAAAGACAGGCTCCTGCCTACTGATGCAAATCCTTTTGCTCTTACTTAGTCTGTGGATCAGATAGCTAGAAGAACGCGTGACAGGAAGCGCCAGGGAAGCTCGGGAAGGCGTCTGCCATAAGACAGGGTTGCATTCTTTCAAAGAGTGCAGACTCCCTAGCTCTTAGGTGTTGGGGTCTCTTCACAGATCCCAGACACGCCCTTCCCAACCAACCCCTCACATTCTCACATCCTCAACCTGCACCTCGAACTGCATCTGTTTTTCATTATCATGCTTTCCAACTTCCTAGTGCGATTCTTCAACAGCTATTAAGACAACACAAGCAAAGAACTAAGCTTAGTTTTTGCTTATTCAACATCCAGCCTGGGGAATATCACCTCAGAAGAAAAGCATGAATGAAGTACACATTTCTCAGTCTCTTCTACAAACCCAAAAGCCCGTTCTTCAAAGGACATCTTCCCAACCATATCCTCTTTAGGATTTTCAACCTGCAAAAATGGTACCTGGGCAGAGTAAAGTTTCAACTTGCATGCCACAATTCATTTATTAAAGAGGAACCTTTTTTTWAAAAAAGGACACCATCCTGAATTTCCAATTAATCAATAATAGACTTTGTTTTAAGTTATAAGATTAAGTTGTATTGACACAAATAGCAAATCTGAGAAATGAAGGAATTATCCAGGCATCCAGATATTTGAAAATTTAAGGGCTGGACCTTGCTGATTAGTAGCCTTTTTTTTTTTTTCCATCAGAACTGTCCCTACACAAATGCAAAAGGAAAATGTCAACACTGGCACTTCAGTTGATAGCTCATTTTGCTTTCCCTGTGACCATCTGTTAGATTTATTAGCGACCCTGGGCCTTGAAACACCCCCAAAAGTGCACATAAGGAGCCTCATAATTAGTTTCTGACTTTGGCCCTAAATCGATTAAAATTACATCTGATCTGCTTTAAATCAAAGAACCATGTTAATGTTCTGCCACACACCACACAAAATCTTTCTGCAACAGTCAGTCACTTTGAACCCAACTCTCTAGCCACAAGCCGTGTGGATTTCAAGGGCCTGTTCTGCAGAAAGGAAAAATGACAACAAACCAAGACAGGAACAAAACTAAGGCACTCAAAGCACTTCTTGGAGCTGTGCAAATCATGCTGGCACCCTGGCAAGGTTTCAGCTGTCACAGGGCAGCTGGCCAGACACCTTAAGCAATTTAGTAGTCCTGAGGTCAGGACCTGAAACACAACGGAGCCCCGGCACTACTCAGAGCTGCATCTGAATGGCTACCATGCCGGGGGCATTTCAGTCTTCCCAGAAGTCACGGTGCAAACTGTCACAATCCTCAGGCATGCAGTAGCAGCCTTCACTTCTGCTTCCTAACCTTCTCTCTTAAAAAACAGGCAGGAGTTTGCCCTCCTTCGCAGGGTCAGCATCGGGTGATGGGGAATCAGTGGAGGGATGCAGAGTCTGTGGGTAAACGGGGCAGGGGGGCGGGAGACARGGAGACAACTATAGGACATAGACTTGAGGGACCAGCTCTGGGCTGCGGAGGATAAGTCTTTCTGAGTAATAAGACATTCGGGGGCATGATCTGATGTGTCCGGYGGGGCAGACCCTACTGTCCCAAAACTGCAAACTGTTCACATATCCTAGCCACTACTTTGCTGTTTGGATAAAAGGGGAGAACACCCCAAAATATGTGCAGACAGGATGTAACAAGTGTTTCAAGAGACACACGCCTGAGTCACAGGGTCCCGGGAGGAAAATGAAGAGTCTGTCTGSGGGACCCTCAAGAAGCCCCCTCTTGGCAGGAGAGCCCCAGCGCCCACAGATTCCCGCCCTGCAAGCCCTTGGTCTGCAGCTGCAAGGAGCCACCCGCCCCCCTCGCTCCGGGAACATCCCCACTCACCACTCGGCCCGAAAATCTCTCGGTGGCCCTCTTGACTTTGCCGTAGGTGCCTTTGCCCAGGGTCTCCTGAAGCTCATAGCGGTGCTTTAAGTTGTGCTTGTGATGATGCCGCTTCACCCCGTGCGGTTTCCTGGGCTCCGGGGCCGCAGCCACAGCCGGAGCTGCAGTCGCCCCGGCCGCCGCCTCGGGCGGAGAACCCGGCGCCCCCAGCCCCAGGTCGGGGCCGTCCCCAGCCGCGGGCGCAGCGGCCCCTTCCATGTCCAAAAGCCGGGCTGCAGAGGGCAGGACCCGGCACAACGCTCGGGGTGTCGGGGTCCCCGCAGTGGGAAGCCGGGGGTGCGCTCAAGGTCGCCCCCGCAGCATTGGCGAGGCGGCCCGCTCCCGCTAAGGCTGCGGCTGGGTCACTGGCGGCGGCAGGGACTGCACATCTGGCGCCCCCGGCGCGCACGGTCGGCGCACCGCCCCCCGGCCGCGGCGAGCTGCGGAGCGTCGAGCGAGGTGGCGGCGGTGGCAGGGAGGCGGTGGTGTTTGCAGGAGGGAGGGGAGAGGGGTGGCTCCGAGCGCAGGAGGGGGAGTGTTATGTGGGGCGCCGCGCCCCCCCAACTCCTCCCAGGGCGGACGCGCAGACGGGGCGGGGGCGGGGGCGGCGCGCTCCGCGGCCCCGGGGGAGGGGAGCGAGGGGCGGCGCGGCCCGGGCTTCCCCACCTCCCCGCCGCCACCGGCCCGGCCACCCCGGGCTGGGAGGGGGTTGGGTGCCTGTCGCGACTCGCCCTTTGTGCTGCGCGGCGCAGGCCACGGCGGCAGCCGGGAGTCTTTGTCCTCGGCCGGCCGGGGGGACCGGGGGATCCCAGCCGGGGCGCCCCCTCCCCGGGCGCTCCCGGGCTCACCCACTGCAGCTACCGCGGGCCCTCCGGCCCGGCCGCCGCCACTGCAGCCTCCGGCTCGGGCCGCTCGGCCTCCGCTCCTGTAGGCGCCGGGGCGGCGGCGGCTCGCGGAGCCCGGGACCCGGGAGGCTAGCGCGCACCCAGCCGGGGGCCGCCGGCGCCCGCTCGCGGTCCGGCCAGGGGCTCCACGGGCCCGGGCGCCTCTTCATTTTCCTTTTGGTGTCGCGGCGGCCGCCAGGCCGGAGCTGGGCTGGGGGAGGGGCGCGGCGGTGTTGGGTTTCAGGCGGTGAGTCAGCCCCCCCCCCCGCCGCCCGGGCTGGCACCCCCGCCCGCTGGCCCCCACCTCCGTCCTGCGGGGGCCACTGCGCGCCCTGGAAAACCCCAGGAGGGTCGCTTCGGCCCAAAGAAAGGCGGAGTCGGGACGAAGGGAGGCTACGAGGCTGCACCCGGGGCCCTCCAACACCGTCCAGGACTCCGGCGGGCACAGCCGCTTGGGAGGGTCGCAGAGTTGGGGGTGTGGAAGAAATGGGGCGCTCAAGGCACGGAGACGAAGCTGGATCCGCGGAGAGGCCCACCCTGCCGCGAAGCAGCCATCAGCAGTGGACTCATCGGGGACCTGGGATGGATCAGGGGCCCGGGCCTGCAGAGCATCCCCTTTGCCTCGCAAAAGGCGACTTGCAGGCCTCTTGATCTTGGCCCCCAAGGAGCCTTGGGAGTTTTCCTTTAACTGGAAGAGCCACATCCAGGTGATGGCGACAGCAACCGTACCCCACCAGGTGAGGGTCAATCAGGAACCCTCCAACCATGGGAGCTGACCCGGTTCTCCAAAGAGGAGGCAAGGGAAAAATCAGGAAGAAGGCAAGGGGGAAAAAAGGCGTGGGGATTTTTTTTTTTTTTTTAAATAAATGGTGCAAGAGCGGTGCGTTCTGCAAATCGCCTGGCAATTCTTTACTTTTCCACCAGTGAACGCCCTGGAGCTTCCTCTTCAGCTCCCAGGTTCATCCCTTCCTCCGCATTCCTGCTGTCTTCACTCCTGTCTACCCCTTATCACCTTACACTGGACTCCCCTGGGCTGTGGCAACAGCCTGCCCTCCCCGGAACCTCCTCCCCGGAAACTCCTCCCTGCAGCCCTAGTAATGGCCCAAAACACCCCAGTCATATCTCCACACACGTGCCTCTGCTGCATTCTAGCAATCTGTCCAAACTTTATTTCCACTGATGCTTGACGTTAAACCCGTCTGCCCCTTCCTGTCTTCCCTAAGAGCTACCACATAATACATAGGCAAAGTTAATGTTTATTCAAATCTATTCTGTCCACCACACTTGCAGGGCCTCTCTGCCCCCATCCTAAACTGTTTCTGCCTTTTTTCCCAGTGCCGRGATAAAATATTTTACCACTGAATTATACTCTCACCCCTGTGTTCTGGTTTTATACAAATAACTGTGCATGTAAATTCAAGAATCAAGTAAGTGATATTCAGAGTGAGTCCTGGTTCCCAGTGAATTGACTGCATGACCTTGGTCAAATGACTTAACCTCTCGAAGCTTCAGTTTCCTCTTCTTAAAACAGAAATTACCTGATAGGTTTTTCAGGTAAACACATTGCTTCTGCAGTAGTAATTAAAATTGTTCACCAAGTATCTTCTGTTCTTTTCCTTCCCCTGGGATATGGTAGAAATCTACTATCCCAACCCACTTGAGATTAGATGTGGCCATATGACTTGCGGAGGTCAGTAGAATGAAGGCACAAGTAATTGTGCTTTTTCCACATGGAGACTTCAGAGTTAGGTTGTATACAACCAGAGATATGAAAAATTGTGCTCTGTATGTGTAATAAGAATTGTAATGCATTCTGCTGTCATATATAAAATATTTAAAAAGGAAGGAAAAAAGCTTCTTTTCTCTTTTCTGATCTTGACTATCAGGGGAGTGCAGAGTTAGAGAGCCTGGGTGTCTAGGTAAAGGTGGTAGAACACTACCAGGTAGCTTGTATTAGAAAAGTCGGGTGAGTAAAAATTAACCTTTTCTCGTATTAAACCAGTGAATTTAATGGGTGTTTGTTATAGCGGCATAACCTAACTGATACTTCCAAGTGCAAAGGACTTAATCCATGTCTGTTGATGGACTGCACCTATCATATGCTGGTACCATTTTATGACAATCCCTCCTCTGTTAGGTAGCTGTTATAATTCCTATATTCTGTTGAGGAAATCATATCAGAAAGGCCTAGTACTTTGCAGCACCAGGATCAAAACCCTACCTATCCAGTTCCAAAATTCTTGCTCAACCTGACTTCCATACATGCCAGGCCACCTCTCCTTAAATGGGAAGGATGAAAAACACCCAGTACAATGGCTGGCATGCAGTCATGCCCAAGCCCTGAGACTTCCTCTCCAGCCAGAATTCCTACAGCATTGATAATTTGAACCACTCTCCTCCAGCATGATGTTATCATGCATTGTGTGAGTGTTTTCACACAGAGAAAGCATTTCCTCCAACCAGGGCCCARGCTCCTAAGTTAAAAGTGGAGTTTCAGAGTCACACGAAGTGGATTTAAATCCCTGTTCCACCACTTTCTCTGATGATCTTGGACAATTATTTTTTCCACTCTGTCTCAGTTTTTTCATTTGTAGATGATGATAACAATATATGTGTCATTGGCCAGGGTCACCATATGTTTCACAGGGTTGGTGTGGAGTTTAAGGGGTCTAACACACTTGATGAATCACAGTTGTTAATATTATTTCTTTTCTTCCACAGCTCCTAGAATTCTGAGCAATTACAAGCAATTTAATCATGCTGCTTGGATAGACTCTGATTTCTGGTTTTGTGGTGAATACAGGAAAGAAGTTGTAACATCTGCACTTGGAAGCATAACATCCACACTGTCCTACATCTTATATTTTACATAAGGCTCATGACCTGTCCTTGATTACATTTGATATTTCAGATCGATTTAAAAGAAAGGTGTGTTTGCTTTCTTGAGAAATCTTTGTTCGGGAAACATATTAATGCCATTTATCCACCTATACATACTACCTCTAACCATCATGAAACTGCAAGGTGGGTGTTACAATTCCCATTTCATTCTTGAGAAAACTGAGTTTCAAAAAGGTTAAGTAAGTTGCCATGGTCAGACAGTACCTGCCTGCATCAGGATTTGAACTCRTGTCTCTGATCCTAAAGCTTTGCTCTGACCTCTATTCCAAGCTGCCTACCATCTCAAGGCTTGTGCAGTAATGCCCATGCTTTGCTTGATATTGTTCTTCCATCTTTCTAGATGAGGTTTGGAACGCTACCCTAGATGATGACATTTCTAACTTGATGTCGTGTGGTGGGCAAGGTCACGTTAAACAACAATCAGACCACGCATATTCTTCACTGTGGCAAAAGAAAGCTAATGGTCCACCTAAGACTCATGTTCCTCCATCAACAGGGAGCTAACAGCTCCTCAGCCAGGAATATAGTTCCCAGCCTCTCTTGTGGGCAAATGGGCCATGTCACTGGTGCCGGCTAGAGGAACATGAGCATAAGTGAGACCAGGCTGTTTAAAAAGTTCTATGCCTTCTCCACCTTCCTCAGCTGGAAACAGAGGACTCCAAGTCCCCAGGGGATGGTGAAGCTAAAGGTAGAAGAAACRTGGGTCCTTACATCACCTTGAAGAATAACACCATTCTCTGACTGGGACATGGTACTGGTACATGAGCAGAAATCAACTTCTGTTTCCTTAAGTCTCTGAAATTAGAGGTTCTATGTGTTCTTGCACAAGCGCTGYCATAACTAACACACACAGCTTACACTAAGTCTGTACCACACATGACATGGGAAGTGGAAAACYGTAGCGATCCCATGAACCATGAGAACCAAAAATGATGTTTTTATATATTTTCGATCCTCTTGTTTCAAGGGAAAGTCGATTACAGAGGRCAGGGTCAGGTTTTCCTTGAATTTTTCCAGTGTTTCGTGTACCAAAGACCAAATGAGAGGAATATCCAACACTCTTATTGAAACAGTACAAAWCAAATTTACTCGTTCCATAATATTTTCCTATTCTGTGCCAGGCATTGGAGACCAAGGGTGTGCTGGAACTGCCATTGTACTAAGCCCAGCCCATAGCATTCAACTGGCCTCCAGCCTCCAAACTTGGGAGAAACCAGGCTACTTGAATATGGACTCCTACAGTTTGGATTTTAAGTACTGCCCAAGGCCCAGGTGTTAAAGGTCCAGCACCCAGTGCAGTACTCTTAGGAGGAGGTGGGACCTTTAAGAGGTGAGGCCTAGTGGGAAGTCAGTCTTTGGGGCGGGGGTGGGGGGTGGGGGGGGTGGGGGGTGGGGGGGGGTGGTGTCCTCGAAGGGGATTGTGGGAGCCCAGTCTCTTCCTCACCCCTTCCCATCCAGGGCCTGAAATGAGCAGCTTTGTGTTCCACCAGGAACTCCTCACCTTGATGTGCTGCCTCATCCCAGGCCCAGAAGCAACAGGGCTGATCAGTCATTGTCCGAAACCTCCAAAACTGAGCCAAGATAAAGGTTTTCCCTTGATAACTTTACTATGATCTCACATATATTTTTCCTGTAATGAAAACCTAACACAAGGACTACATTAGTTAATACCCTCCCTGCAAAAAAAAAAAAAAAAAAAAAAAAGTACTTAGAACAGCAAGAGATGCAACAGCACCCAACAATGGCAGCTGTCAAGACCTTT